ATATGATTGTGGGAAAATTCTACTACCAGTCCTTCATCACCTTACACGAAATAGGGTGAATACATGTCATTAATCAGGAACAACGACGCAACGGCGGCTAATGAGAAAGACAGACGTCTGTGAGTGGCCACCTCACCATCGCCGTCGCCGTCGCCGTCACCATTTGCTCGAATCGCAAAGGTGGGTAGTAACGACAGTATCACTGAGCCCGGTTGGTGTTGGAAGCGAAGATTGGATCGGCGATCGGCGAATGAGCAAGTCGAATCGAGACAATCTCAACGATGGTCTCGAGGCAAAGGGTCAACATGTTCTCAATGTCTGACAAGGGTACAAATGGTACAAGTGCATAACTTACCGATTACGAAGAGAAGAAGGTTGAAGCGTTCTGGCATGATTAAACGATACAACGCTGGGCTTTATCAAGTGGCACAGAGACTTAACTCGCAGACAGTTTGCTCTCGGCGCGAATTCGGTACTTCCTCCAGTCTACCAAGTAGTGTCGGATTTATAGGCGAGATTTGATCATTACCCATCTGCCGTGTCCACCCACTCCCGTGGGATTATTCGCCACACACAAACACACACACACATACACATACCAAACTTTCTTTTCCATTTACCTCCCTTTCCTTTGTTGGCCTGGCCTCTCGAACCTGCTCTCTCTCTCTCTCTTTCTCTCACCTCTCAGAACGCCTCCCAGACCCACAGGGTTTGTGGTGCCGTTCGTGTGCTCTCTCCCCTCTTTGATGGTCAGCTCTGCCCTGCCCTGCCCAGTTCAGGCCAGGCCAGGCCATACCAGGTGGGTGGGAGGAAGGAGAACAGGTCGGCCTGCTTCCTCTTTGAGAACCGGAGCCAAAGGGAGTCTGGTGAGCTCGTTCCTCGGTCGGTGATTGGCCAAATCGTTCGGACAGCAGACACCCTGTTGCTGGGCCGTGCTGCCAATCGCGAGTGTCGCCAAGACGGTCGTGTCCGTCTGAGCACTCGGGACTGGTTGGACGAGGGCACTTGGCGCGTCGAGAAGCGAAGCATCTTTCCGGGTCTCGTTTGAGGAAGCTGTCGCCATCGCCACGGTTCTCGTCGAGGCCCGTTCAGCTCGACCAGCCGCGGGGGCTCGCCTCGAGCCAGGACGGCGGGAACAGGTCGACTCGACGGGGCACAAAAGCGAATCCCACTTTCGGCTTGATGCAGTCACTGAGGCCGGTGATAGAACGCAAATGGCATCGAGTCTGGGTTGAGCCCTCATGCTTCACATGACGTCAGAATTGCATATACAAATTACACACCAACAAAGGTCTGAACATGTGCCAGCAGAATTTTGGAAGGAAAGAGCGCAAACCCATCCACATCATCAACTCTACTCAACTGTAGGCTAATTGTCTTTAAGAAGTGGGATTTCGAAATAATCTGAACCTTATTTCGTTAAGGTGATGAGGGCGCCACAATCTACGAATAGACTTTACGTTTACATCAACTGTAGCATAGCCTTGCTTTCCCACAAGGCATTCCCATCCAGACAGGAGTGGACTGCGATTTCGACCTTGTTAGCACCCACAGCGGGACTCGAACTCGGGTTCTGGTGGTACAGCGTATTGCTTTAGCAAATTAACCTTGAGGTAACAGGGCAGATGTGGATTTCAAGCAGGACCATGCATTTTGCATACCACATTCTATAGTGGGATTTTTGATGAAGCAAAGCTGGTATTGCCATAGCAAACGATTACACTACTTATTTTTCGTTGATAAGTAGGTTTTTGAAAATACCAATTGGGCATAAATATAAGATATGGTCTATTTCTCTTGCAAATACAACTTTACTTCATCAAAAACCCCACTAAAGAATGTTATATGTAAAAATGCATGGCCTTCCTTGAAATTCGCATCCACACTCTCACCTAAAGACACTCGTGCCAGTCTGGTGTAGTGGAGAACTGCATTATCACGGTTCGAGTCCTGCTGGAGGTTCTGATGAAATCAGTTTATGCGAGGCCAAAACTGCAGTTCAGTCTTTTTGAAATGAGAATAGCCTTTGGGAAACAAGACTATGTAAAATAAAATAGAAAACATTAGGTCTACTCAGATGATTGAGGGAAAATTCAATTGCCAGACCTTCAACACCTTAAACGAAATAGGGCAAACATAGCTCATATATCTGATGTACTGGTAGGCTCGACCACCCACTCAAGATGAAATACCGGCTCTTATTCACTCA